TGTAATGTGCCATCACCTCCTCAACCTACGACAGGTTCCCTTCCACTGGTTCCTTCTCCTTCCAGACCTTCAGGAGGTATGTCTCCACACCCTGGAGCTAAAGGAGTAAATTCTTCAACTGATGTGAAAACATCATCTGTTGTGAGGGGACGTGGGTTCTCACGGTCATTGGGCATGGGGGTGGCTGCTACAGGACCTCAACGATCATCATTAAAACCTCTGCATTGGAGCAAGGTGACTCGGGTACTACAAGGGAGCTTATGGGAAGAATTGCAAAGATTTGGAGATCCTGAAAGGTATTACAAATTCTTCTGTGAATCTACTCATTCATTCGATTGTGATATTTTTCACTATCCACTTTCAAACTGTGTATTTTGGCCTAGATAGCATTCACTATCCTTGTAATAACCAAGTTTCGATATTCTTCTTAGTGCACCAGAATTTGATGTAGCTGAGCTGGAGACACTTTTCTCTGTGACTGTCCCTAAACCTATTGTTGATTCAGGGGGTAAATCTGGAGGACGAAGGAAGTCAGTTGGATCAAAATTGGACAAAGTTCACTTGGTATTGTACAACAATAAAATATATGTTTTATGTGATCGAGTCTTTAACTGTTGGTGCAACTAGAGTTGATGTAATATTTAATTGCAGATTGATCTTAGGCGGGCAAATAACACTGAAATCATGCTAACAAAAGTTAGAATGCCACTGTCTGACATGATGGTAAGCCAAGAAAAGTTATAGATACTTCGGATATTTCTCTTTGACACAGACTAATTTTTCCCATCATCAACTTCCCAGCGCTATAAACTCTGATCTACTGATTGCTAGCCTTTATATCATATGTAACGTTGTTGGGTGGCTCTGGTACTGAATAACTGTAGAAAAAATTGAATTCAGATAGAAGATTTTAGTGACTTAAAAATCTCGGTTTCGAAAGGTTTGCTTTAAACTTAATAGAAAATATCATGATTTAGTTTCATTTTGTGCAGTATGGACTATCCGAGAATTTATCATGTCTTATTTTATGTCAACGCTATATAGGATTCCTCCTTTTCACTTTCATGCTTGCACAAATTTCTTCTTGAAAAAGAGAGATTTTAAGAGTTGGAGTTTGATCTTACAGCTAAAACCTTATTTCAACCCCAGCTCATCCTTTCACCATGGTAGCCAATATTTAGGAGTTGGAAAATACAGTATCAAACTGTTGGTGGCAAATTTCAGATCTTTTTGTGCTTGTTCTCGTACTGCATTCTTACTGTTACTGAAATTTCTCACGTGAGTAAGCGTTGTTTCAGACCTGGAAGATTAAAATGATCGAGCAGATTATTTTCTTACAATTGTCGATTCATCGTATAATACAGGCAGCAGTACTCTCCATGGATGAATCCATATTAGATGTAGATCAAGTGGAAAATCTTATCAAATTTTGCCCCACCAAAGAGGAGATGGAACTAATCAAGGTGAAAGATCGTGTAAAACACTATTTGATGATCCTTTATTCGATTTTCCGTTCTTAGATTCTTCCTATTATGGAAGTAATATCCTGCTCTTTTTAAATGTTCTGTCGCCTGATGCTCTTTACTTATGATCAATTAACTAAAGATTTCTCTTATGCTTAAATTATTAAGGGATACTGTGGTGACAAGGACAAACTCGGAAAGTGCGAACAGGTAATTTTCAGTTGCTCTGTTGAACAGTCATAGATTGTGTTACATTTTTTGGTTTGCGGGTTGACATTTTCTTAGTTTCGATTTTTTTCTGATTCAAATCATGTTTTCTTTTCATTTTTCATTTGTTCACGCATTAGTACTTTTTGGAGATGATGCAAGTTCCGCGTGTGGAGTCGAAGTTAAGAGTGTTCTCTTTTAAGATTCACTTCAGCTCTCAGGTTCTGTGGTATCTGCGTCTCTTCATTTTTTTCCTCTTTAGTTCTTCTCTATATATTGATTCTTTGACCTCATTTGCAGATAGTAGAGTTCAAAAAAAGCCTAAACACTGTAAACTCTGTCTGTCAAGAGGTCAATTGATAATGATAATGAATACCTTCCTCCACTTGTTTGATATATGTCAAATCTCAGCTCATTAATTTACGTTAATGCTTTAATAGGTGAAGAACTCTTGCAAATTGAAGGAAATATTGAAGAGAATTCTTTGCCTGGGGAATATGCTGAACCAAGGAACTGCTAGGGGTAGGAAACTTCTTGCATCTTTGTTGGATAACACATTTTTAGCTTACATCATGATACTTAAATGGGTTGATACGGCACCATAATTTTATGTTCATGTTCATGAAGTGTTTTAGTCAATGAATTTTGAACGCATTACTAGCCAAAGGCATACCATGCAGGTTCTGCCATTGGATTCAGATTGGATAGTCTCTCGAAACTCACTGATACACGTGCTACTAACAATAAGATGACTCTCATGCATTATCTCTGTAAGGTACTATTTTAATTCATCTGTCTTATTGATAAATTTTAATAGTTCTATCCTGATAAATATTTGGAACGTACGAGAACGAGATGTTATATAACTTCGATACTATACTTTCGGTTTTTATTACAAAGGTTTCAGTGATATCTCATCCTATAGAGGGGGTATACTGTGGAGTGAAACTTTTAGCTTTTTATATTCCCCCAATCCCCTCCTTCTCTCAAGTGTGGCAGGCTGTTCACAAAGTTTGTTTATGCATGTGCTTCAGGTTCTCGCTTCGAAGTCACCGTCACTTCTTGATTTTCATCTGGACCTTAGTAGCTTGGAAGCCGCATCTAAGGTCTCTATATTTCTTGGTATTAAATTCGAACATTATGTATAGAAAACTTGTTTGACATGGGGTCTTGCTTCTCATGCAGATACAATTGAAGTCTTTGGCGGAAGAAATGCAAGCAATAACAAAAGGATTGGAAAAGGTGAGGCAAGAACTAGTTGCATCTGAAAGCGACGGCCCCATCTCCGAAGCTTTTCGTAAGGTACACAATCTTTCTTCCTTCCCTCCATCCCCTGAGATTTGGTGTGAAAGAATGAAATAAAGCAGTTTTGTACAAAAAAACAAAATTCTTTTGTTGGCATTCTTGACATCATAATTATGCAAACACTCTTTTGGTTTGGTCCCTCTCATCACCCCAGATGCACACACAAACATAGTCATCGTGAACACTTATAGTGGTTTAAACAATTCTTTATCTTGTATTTTTAGACATTGAAAGGATTTGTTACTCTTGCCGAGAAGGAGGTGGAATCTGTGACGGTTCTTTACTCGGCGACGGTAATCTTCTAGACCAGATCGTTTATGTTGAATTATAGTTTGAAGCTATTGAGAAATCAAATAGAACATGCTTTTTCTTACTGCTTTGTGGCAGGGTAGAAATGCGGATGCACTTACACAATATTTTGGCGAGGATCCTGCCCGTTGTCCATTTGAACAAGGTTAGTAAATGGTACACAGCTTGGCTTTTTGTTGTCTCTTGTTGTGTGGTAATAGCTGCAGAGTCTGCAGTTCATCATTCCTCATGTAGCTTAGTTTACTAATGAGTCAGAAGAATCATCATCTGTATAGAGTATCCTATCTCTACCCGGTCGTTGTCATGCGGGATCTGATTCCTTGTGTTCAATCCAATGCAGTTACAGGAACTCTCTTCCATTTTACTCGGTCCTTTATGAAAGCACACGCAGAGAATTGCAAGCAGTTGGAAATGGAGATGAGAAGGCTGAGAAAATAAGTGAAATTTGGAGCTGATGAAGAAGTTTGTGAGGGGTGATATTCAATTCGACGATTCGATATAGTATCCGAGGATGTCAAAAAGATCCTTTCTTAGGACACACCAGAAATCTAAGATCGATAGAATTTGGAAACTGCAGAAACTTTAGCATCCCACAAGGCTAATCTAGGACAAGGATCATCCATGCTATGCCAAAATTATGACTTCGAGTTCTCTCCAAATGAACAAAATTGTACTTCAATCTTATGTGGTCATAACGTAGGATCAAGAAGTAAAGGAAACATAGGCTTACTTTTTTCTGCAGAATCTGAGTTACTTTGATCCATTGGAAGGATCGGGCCCTTTGGAGTCATAGCCTTCTTGAAAGAGTTCATTTTAGTATAGAAATTTGATTTCAGATTTACAACAGGCCAGCGCCTAAGAACCGTTCAGACTTTAGCCGTAGGATCTAACACCCACCAGCACAATAGCTATCTGTACAAAGCTCTCTCCCTGTTCATATCTTATGACTGACACCAATTCTGTACCATAAATTTCAGAGGTTCTGTCCCTGAAGATGTATCTCTCTTTAGTTAAGATGTTAGAAGTCAGCCATAGCTAACTTCTGTGACTGTAACATAAAGTACTACTCTACTTCTTAGACAGAGCATGAAGCTATCAACATTTGGCAGAGTAGTGGGGCCTTCTTGCATGTATATATATAGTACAAGGAAGCAAGCTAATCATAAGTACATCAAGAAAATGGGCTCTAAAATTGACCCCACAATTGCTAGAATCTAGTTTCTAGAGATCATAGTTTTTCAAATCACCATAAATGCATGGAAGTTCAGAAGAACTTCAATTTTTTCATCAACATTATTAAAGAACTTCAATATTTGACCTAATTTTGAATTTAAACACACAAAAATTTGTCTCATGTTTGGTTTTGGTGCTTTTTTTTTTTTTTTTTGTGTGTGTTCTACCGTCCTGCTCCTACCTAGAGTTCTAACTTCTAACCCACGAGCAAAGGCTTTGTTTATAATGCATTTTCCATCTGGGTTCGTCAACTATTGCTTGAAACAAGAATCTTTTCCACATAATGCCCAAACATTTTCCGTCTGGACCAGATCAAGGCTCTGTTTTTAATGCATTTTCCATCTGGGTTCGTCAATTATTGCTTGAAACGAGTTATTTTTGCACATAATGCCCAAACATTCGGGTTAGCTGAGAGAATCAGATGTGTTCAAAAGAAGAAATGTTTGAAGATTTGAAGATTTGAAGCTAGCTTTTCAAGGCTGCTGAACTAGGCTGCTAGAAATTGAGTTTTATTCTTCAATCAAGCTCTGACAAATGGAGGTTTGTATATTCTACTACAATTCAACTCTCGGATATCTACAATGCGAACACCAAGGTGAAATACATAAAAGACAAACGGCAAGAACAGAAAGAACTGAAGGAACAGCTACAGATTTTTCACGTGGTTTCTGCTCCTGGATCTTTGTTTCTACTGTAGATGCTTATCCGTATGAAAAAAGAAAGTTGCTTGTTGAATGAATTCCACGGGCTTTTATTGTTCTTTAATTGAATTCTATATACTTTTTTCCTGCAGATTGTCCTGTTGGATGGATTATCCACAAGTAGTTGAATGCAGGTGATGTAGAGCCTTTGAATCGATGCAGCCACCATCGTCTTCTTCTACAGAATTTATTTGAAGAGCTTGTCTTCCTTCCAGATCCACCCAGTAAACTGGCTTGCAACTCTTGAAGAACAGACAACTCACCACGGTGTCGAGGACGATGAAAATGGAGTACAAATATGCAATGACGATCCCTTCGGACACCATAGAAAGACTTACCCTTCCAACAACAATATAAGCTCTCACTACACGGTACTGGAACAAGGCTTCAATTGCAGCCATGGCTAAATTTGTAGGCAGAGCCAAAAGTAATGCTGTGGAAGTTTTCCCTCTTATCAGAACACAAGCCTTGAGAATTGCTAAGTAACCTCCAAGCCTTTCCATGCCTGACAAAACTAATGCTAGGTTGCTGATAACCATTGTATTTGCAAGAACTAATGAATACAGGACAGCTCCAGCTGCTGAGAACCAAAGGAAGCTGGTGGAAGAAGAAAAGCCAAACCCTTCAAGGGAATTGAAAGAGAAGAAAAGTATAGAAAAGACGGTTGCATTTGCTGAGAGTATGAGGATTGAGTTGCAAATATGGGTGAAAAGAAGAGGAGTGTAAAGGGATCTGATAGAGGAAAAGGAGGGGTGAGAGCTTGGTTTGGTGTCCTTGAAAGCTTGAAGAGCAGAGGCTTTTGCAATAAGCAGAAAGGTAAGAGTGAAAGGAAGAGTGAAGATGGAAGAAAATATCGTTTGGGAAAGCTTGTGAGTGAAAATGGAGAAGGATTCCAAGGAAGGAGGGAATCCTGCAGCATCAAAAAGGATGTTGAAGCGATGGTATATGCTTGGAAGAAGAGAAGTGAAGGAAGTGAAAACAAAAGTTTGTGAGAGAAGAAGAGAAACTGAGAAGGGAAATGCAAGGAATGCTGAAAAAGAGGTAAAATACTGATAATTCTGCAGGAAACTGAAGATTGATGTTCTGATGATGCTGCTGCTGCCTGTCTTCCCCATTTCAATGCCTGTATTTTTGTGTATTGAGAAGGCTGCCTCCTCTCCCCTGCCCTCCCCTGCCCTGCCTTGTGTGTTGAGCTGTATATATTTCCTTGCTTTTGGTTGGTTGGGGGGGTTGCGTTTGATTATGCTTTTGAAAAGTGGGATAAATGGATAGGCTCAACCACTAAATGATAGCAGAAATGGCAAAGAGTGAGTTGTTCAAGCATTGCATTGTTTTTACCAAAGGAATCAGTGATGAACTGTCTTGGTGTGCTGCAGTTTGCAGGGCCCTTAGTAATCTCCAAACCCCAGTGACCGTCTTGTTTAGCTGTTGCAATTACAGACAAATATAAGAGCCATGATTGATTGATTGGTATATTTATTCTTCCTTAATCATGTGATTTTAAGGTTCTGTGAAATCCCCAAGATTTGTGTTTGTTGTTGTTGTTGTAGAAGTAAATACAGAATTCAAGCAGTAGATTGTGAAGAGGTGTGTTTATAAGTTAGATGCCTTGAAATTGAAGAAACCAATGTCTTTTTTGGAGGCTAGTAAAGAAGTAGATGCTTGGAAATTCAGACTACAAAAAGGCTCTTAAGATTGAATGAATCTTAGCTTGCAAGAGAACGAACTTGAATCAATCATAATACCCATCAACAAACCTTAGCTTGCAAGAGAACGAAATTTGATTCGTGAGATCCCACATGGGTTACATAGAAAAACAAAACATTCTTTATAGGGGTATGGAAACTTCTTTCTTAATAGACGCGTTTTGAAACCGTGAGACTGAAGATATAAGTAACAAACTAGAGCGAACTATTAGCGATGAGCTTATGATATACAAAGCAAATTAGCGAGAGAGTCTATAAAAACTCAAGAATTTCAAAATTAAAAAAATTTTGGGGGAAAATTTGCATCAACTTTATGGTAAAGAAATGTTTAAAAAGCAAAGGTTTAAGTTTTGTATTATATGGTTGGAGTTTTGAAAAGGAAAGAATATATAAATATATATATATATTAGTTGAAACTTCAGTAATTTAATTGATGATCATAACCTCCACAACTTGCTTTCATAATCAAAACCCAATAATTATTTTAAATTTTTTGTTTTGGTTCTCAAATACAATAAAACAAAATAGTGTCGGTGTAACCACTCTTTCTATTTTAATAAACTAATCATCTTTTACCATCCTATATACAAATCCAATTTTTCATATTTTAGCTACCCGTATTTACTGTCTGAAAAATTTTACTATCGAAATGTTAAATTACAAGTTTAGTCTTTAAATCTTCGTATTCCATCTATTTGATTTTTAAATTTTAAAGTGTATGATACAATTTAAAATTTTTAAATTGTAAGAAATTGATGAACTAATTATGTTAAATATTAAAATTATTGTAATATTTGAAAAATCTTAGTTAATTTATGTTATGCATGTAAATATGTATACAATAATGTTTTCAATTATGATAAAGATTAGATTATCATTGAAATTATTGGAAAAGATGGGCCTACGACTTTCCTACAAACCGACACCTAAAGATCCATAATTACGAAATTAAAACATTAAAATATTAGGTTAAATATCTCATAAATTAATAATACTTTTAAAATTTTAATTTTGCATCAAGTTTGGTAGCATACCTAAATATTTCACGTATTAATATATATGAATTATTTTTTATTATAATTTCAAGTTTGAAATTTAAAACAATTCAGTTTTGGTCGTGTCGTGTGGTTGAGTGGTCAATCGTAAATCTGAAAACTCTAGTAAAGCGTCGGAATTTTGCTATTTTTTCGATCGTTAATTTATTATTATTATTTTAATATTATATCCGATTATTATAATTGAGAGGTGACTTGACTTGTGAAAGGATAAGATTTGGAATGATCATAGGCTAATAATTGGTGTTAATTGGTGTCTATTTTAGTAATTGCATGACTTACCCATAAATATTATTATAATGTTTATTTAAATCAATTGTTTCCTTATTATTATTTTGTGTTCCTTGCTTATTAATTTTCTATTTTTTTTTCTTGTCAAAATTAATTTAATATTTGATTTTATAACATAATTTTTATACCACAAAATTAATTTAAAAAATATTTTGAGTATGATAAAAATATTAAAATTATTTTAAATCTTGTAACTAATATACATTATTTTAATATATATATATATATATATAAGTTTTTGAATGGTTGACTTTGTCAATATAATAAACTGGAGTTATCATCCATATTTATTGTTTATTGTCAATAAAATATGTAGTTTGTACTATCTAAATTATTTTTATGCACCAACCACTCATTTGAGCTATTTTTACGATCGATAATTCGATTAATTCGAATTATTCAACCAAAATTATAAAGATTAGGTAAGTTGACATTCTTTTGGTTGGTTAAACTCGACCAACTCGAAAATAGGATTACAATTCAACTCAACCCTACCCTATTTTTAAAAAAATTAATGATATTTAACGTTTGTAACTGACGTTCGTGATACGTTGTGACTTGTAAATGTTTGATATTTTAATTATTAATGAAATCTATATTATAGATAAGTAGAATTTTTAAAACTAATAATCGAATCCAATCCAACTCAACCCAACTCGAAAATAAAGGGCTGAGTTGGGTTGTGAATTTTATTCGCGTTGCTCAAGTTAGTTCAAAAAAATTTTGATTTATTGGGTTATAGCCGTGTGCTAAACGCCATTTCTTTTGATTTATGGTTGGAATTGAGTAGCAAAATGTATTAAATGAATTAATCCAATAAAAAATGTGATTTTATAAATAGTAATTTTGAGGTTTATATCTTAATTAGGGTGAAATTTGAATGATTTGATTTGACATATTTTTTTTTAGAATTTTGTTAAAGTAATGGAATCTTAAACATTGCATAATTAGGTGAATAATTAGGTGAGTGTAGAGTTAGGTAAAAGACATTGTGAAGTCACTTTCATCACATTAATTTGTTCACCCATGAACTTAGGCCTACATAATGTTGCCATCCTACCTATAATTCTTCTTTAATATCATTTTTCACCTTCAACTTTTAAATTAATCAATAACTTTTGTGAAAGTTTTAATCGTTTGTGACCTGAAATAAAATATGTCGATCACATATTGTTCAAGATTAAACCAATAACCTTCATTTTTCATACCAGGAAATTGTTAAATTACGATTTAATAATCAAAATTGTTCTCGAAAATAAGCTATTAAATCTGAAGCTTAAAGCATAAATCTTTAGAGAATGAAAAATGCTCTATCATAATAGTTAAAGAACTCACACGCTGTATAAATGACTTCAACTCCGTGCAGTAATGAAAAATATAAGCATCTTCCGTATATAACTCATCTAGCTATATATATCTCTTTACTATACACCGTCATTTTCTATATATAGTTGTTTACTATAAATGTTATTTTCATAGTCATTGAAACTCTATAACTTAACATATCTGTAACACTGAATAAATTCTTCTGGCCATCAATATCTTCACTGCACTAGATCAACATTAACACCTTTTGTTAACATGTATGTTGGATTTTTTGCACTCTCTGTCTTCTCCAAACTAACCTGTGAGTAGAATGATATCGTGATATCGCCTTATGTGTTTTGTCTTTAAATTATAGACCAAGTTCTTTAGAAACAGTGTGACACTCTAACTAACTACATAAAAAATTTATTTGGTTGCTTCTCGCTTAGTTCTTCTAGATAGTCTGTCATTCATATCATATCTTTTCTAGTTTTAGCTATTACCACATATTCAGCCTTCGTAGATAAAAGAGTAACATAATTCAAAAGCTTAGACATCCAACTCATCTTATCATCTATGCTTGGTCCCTCTTGGTTGTATCTTCCAACTGTAGGTTCTCATCAAAGAACTCTAGTTACACTTCATTAGTTAGCACAAAGAGTATAATAGATATTTATGGTATTTTGATGGTTCTAGATGCTCTCATCTCTAACACCTGCTCCACATCTAGTTCGTCAGCAACCGCCTCCGGAGTTTCTTGAGTTTCTGCAACTCACCCTCCCGTCTCACTTGCTTCCTAGTCTTGGAATATTTCTTCTCTTTATCCTATACAAGACATTTTTGTCAATTTTGACGTCACAATGTTTTAGATTTTTTTTTTTTATTTTTGTCCTCTATAAACCTATACCCGAACATATTAGAACCATAGCCTATGAAGTACCACTTCACAATATTAGCATCAAGCTCGTCTCTTTTCTCTGGATCAACATGAATATATGCATATGTAGTACAACCAAAAGTTCTCAACTTGAACTCCAACGATGCTGACAACCCTATATTGATCAAGTAAGTTGTTGTATTCATCCTCATACTTTTTGCCCGCTCATTCATTGTTCTATTCATCCTTTTAGTGACACTATTTTGTCTTACCGTACAAAGAACTATCTTCATTGATTTGATTTCCTTAATTGTACAAGACTTTGAATTCTAACTTGTGGTGCTCTTCTCTATTGTCAGACCTCATACACTTGATCTTCAAACCGGTCCAATTTTCAACTTAAGTTTTCCACCTCTTAAAGGTGGCAAATACATCTAATTTGTGTTTCAAGAAATAAATTTATACATTTGTACTGAAATCATTAATCAAGGTGACACAAAATTTTAATCCACCAATTGAGGAACTAGAGCTGGTGATTTTAGAAAAAATAAAACACGAGAGAAAATGCAATGAGAAATGTTGGCTATATTGATGACATGACTTTAAACCAAAGTCTCTATTAGTGTGTTATTGTGTATAACTATCTATCATATATAACCTTTTACTATACATAGTTGTTTAGTATAAATATCATTTATGGTAGATAGCCATTGAGTACGTCATAAATAAATAACAGGCTCATAACTTAGCAATAGCTAAAAAGACTAGTGTGTATTCATTTTCAACCTTCAGTAGTCGAAGTCGGTAATAGGTTTAAAGACGAATAGCAGAAATTCTCAAAATTAAAATATTTAAAAGAAAAAGATGGAACCTAAGAATAAGGAAGTCCAAATTTTAAAGAGAATGAGATGGAGTGTTCGTCATGATAGACCTTCTTTTGTTTGGGCCTTCTCTCATCTCCTCAAATGGACATCGACATTTAGGGCACCAAAAATCCAAATTTTGTTAATGGGAATTTCGAATTCGTAATTTTGTTCTATCGGATAGAATCGATCAAAAATCTCCAATGGCAATTACAAGTTCAAACTTCCAAGGAAACACGACTCGGTTCCTTCCTGTTGCATGAACGCATCCCAAGGCGTTTTCTTTGGATCTCTGAAGCTCAAATTACTCTCCATCTTTTGTTTGTTGCAATTCTTTATGTTGAGAAGGGAATTGGCAGGTCATGAAGCCAGATCGGTTTTCGACTGGGAAAACTTCCATTCGTTGAATTCCTATCATTCCTATCAGTCGT